CTACATATGAATGCAATATAATCCCATTTAACTCAAATGAATGTCTCATATATGTCATATCAAGAATTATGCCAACTAATGAAAACTAATTCTGGGCACGGTTGCACCGACTCAAACCATGATTTTGTATCAAAAACACGTACCGAAGATTCTCAATGGATGTCTTGAGATATAGGAAGCTACACATGAATAGAAAATAGTCTCATGTCATTCAAGTAGATATCCTACATGAGTGACATAAAAAATTGATGCCAACGATGACCACCTTTTTGATGTCATTACTTGCAAGGGATTGCCACTATAAAAAACTCAACTAATCAATAAAACAAACTCTTTCCTAACTAAGATGAGCGAAAGAAAAAACTCCGGAAACATTCCACAAATCTTTTATTTTGTTATTAGATACTCTTTAAAATAATGCTTTCATATTTCAAGATGATATATTATTTACAATTCCATATCCAACCATAAATAGAAAATTTTAGCTCATGGTGAACAACACTCTTTTCACATGAAATCACACCTAATACTTGCAAATTGACATAGCTAGGATTTTCACAGGTAGAACCTGCAATGTTTCTTGACTTGTCCCTTGAAGAAGTTCTTGCGCTTGAGACTTGACCACAAAATTTGACTAGTCCACCACATAGTTAGTAACATCGAGTTTGAACTTTTATATAATTCGACTAGCCGCACCCAGCCATTCAAGTGGTTAGCAATTTATTTTTTGCTTCTTTGTTTTCAGTTACGCTAGTTAGATATATAGATGCGTGGATATTAAGACATGCATACAATCATTGCTTATCTTTAATTTTCTAATTGCTTAAATTTAGTTTTTTTAATGCTTTCTGTCCGCTAGTTGCTCGTGCATGTGTTGGTGTCGGCCCCCATTGCATAAGAAAATTGTTTTCTGGGAAGAAATTCACACCACACATGTCTTCTGAATTATTTACATATCTGGCACCAAAATTTTCATATTTACAAATATACTACCTTGATGTCATAAACCTTTTTAGTGCTGGTAGTTGTAAAATTGTCGATGCGATATTAGAGATTTGACTGTTATGTATGTAAATATAAAAATTTAGATATTAGATAGGTGATTTGCGTGATATCCATACAAATGCATCTTTTCTTTAATAATGATATTTAGTCATGCTGCAGGACCAAAGCCGTATTTCGGCGGATCCCATTTTTCTTTTCGTTTTTTTGGTAAAAAAAAAAGAATTTGATGGACGGTGGAGATCAGACGGTGTATGCATTTCTGCATACACTATCCGTATGGAATTATTTTTCGTATGTAAGGGCTTAAGCTGTGTCTAGACAATAGACACGATTCACCAGCAGAAGCAGAAGAGGAGAAAAAAAACCTCCAGTATATCGCGTTTGTTGGCGTCTATTGTCCAGACTGCAACTGACGTCCAAATTCTGAACACAATATTTTCTCTAAGTGAGAACGGCAACGGCCTTGGCAGTACTAATTCAAACCTTGTTAAATGGAAAGCCTACAATTTTTTTAAGCATTTTAACAGCTGGATGTTCATACCAAACCACTTAAATATAGCCCAACTGGCAACCTTTATTATCTCTAGCTGTTCAACGAGTTACAAAAAGGCAAATTTATGGGGCAAATAATTGAGATTTTCACATCTAACATTTGCAAAGAAGGGCATTTGTGTTTATAGTAGAATGCACATTTATGTGTATTTTCTTAAAAACCAAAGTGTTTTTCATTGATAAATATATTATAAAAGAAAATAAAATTAAATTTGCAGCCATCGAGGCAAAATAATACAGCAACAGCATGAGATTAAAAAGCATACATCACATTGAAAGTAGCACATTTTCTTGCAATTAAAATAAAAAAAGATGGGAACTTTACATGCGTACAACATAATTCTTGTATTTACATATCTAACACAAATATTCATACTTAAACTGATGATATATTGATGTCATGAATCTATGCATGAAAATATATAATTAAATTTTAGAAAATTAGTAATGATGGATATTTTGTATGCGATGTTAAAGATTTGAGTGACTAGTATTGTTAAATGTGAACGTTTCGAGAAAAGCTTGATTTGTAAATACATAAAAATGGCGGTGAAATATATGTAAAAGCTCCAAAAAAGAGAACTTTGTGTGTAAGATTTTGTTCATTTATTATCTGATTTTAAATTATATTTTCAAAATTTATTAATTTTTAAAAAGTTTGATGGCAAAAGAGGAGAATCATAAGTTCCAAATTGGTCAGAATGTTACAAATAGTAATTATTGAGATAGTAAATGCGGCGACGTCTGGAGGCACCATTTTTAACATGACTTATAAGTGATTTTGTGCATTTATCCTATCTCCGCATTCCAGGGATAAACAAATAAAGGTTTGCATTTCATAAAATTCATTGAATCCCAAGCATTTGCAAATTGAAATATGCTTTATTTCTTTGATCAAATGTAGCCCCAAATTAACATGATAAAAGCCCACAGAAGCCATCCATTCACGCACTGCCTTAAAATCTTAAATTCTGCTGTGCGGTATTAAAATTTAACCCGCACTAATAAATTTTATGACCACCAATGTCAAGGAAGTGAAGCTCCGCCAGAGGATCTGGGAATTTCGTATCCCGGGTTTGGCACGAAAGTATCGTCAAAGCCAGGGATATAGCGTCCATTAGCTGCAGCTGGGCCACTATGATCAAAGTCAGTGAAAGAAGGAACATTGTTGGAAGTACGAGTACTTCCGGCGCCGGATGTGATGCCGCTGAAGCCCGGATTATTGTTTCCGGCAAATTCACCGAAGCATTCCTTCTGCAGCTTCTTGCTGGTATCGGTGGAGGCCGGGGCTGGGCGTGCGGCATTAATGGCAAAAGGTTGAAGAAGAAGAAGAAGAAGAAGGGATAATGAAGTGAGGAGGATGGAAAGAGAAGTGGTTGTAGTGGATATGGCCATATGGGCGTTGTTGGTTATTTTGCTTTTTGGTGAGGCAGAAGATGTATTGTTAGAAAGAATGATGATTGGTGTTCGGTTGGAGCTGATATTGAATGAGCTTGAATTCAAATTATAATACTAATTTCTGCTCACCCAAATTTAACGCTAATTGAGATTAATTTCTAGTTTAATTTAGGAATTTTAAAAGCAGCTAAAAGCTGGATCGGGTCGTACTAAATTTTGATTATTTTAACTAATTTAATGTTAAATTAAATAAGAAGAAAAACGTGCACTGATTTTCCTGCAACAGAGTTGGTCAGATGGGTGGATGAATGGCGGTGCGTTATGAGATTTGTAGTACGCTAAGCTTGCTTTGTGCAGTGGGGCACGTGGAAAAAGGGGTGTACCGGAATTGGCGGTGCTGTATTAAATTTTCAAGCCATGGAATAATTTTTTAGCAATTATATAAGAAAATTTTACATGTGTACCACTCCATTTTTATTTATTTACAAGCGTAGCACCCAAACTTCAATTTTTGTTTCTTCGATTCTATGGCAACTTCTGAAACGGTGATATCCTCTCTATACATCGGAGCCTCTTCTTTCATTTCATCAAAATTTCTTATCAAAATTTCTTGTGTGAACTTTGTAATTCGCTATTTAAGAGTTTAAATGATTGAATTTTTTATGTGGTACAAATGTAAAAGCAAAGTATATGGGTCGGATATGTAAATACATAAGAATTGTGTGCTGTGTAATGTAAATGCCCCCACTTGCCAACTGGTACTCTAAAGCTAGTGGTTGGAAAGTAGGCCGTTTTTTCTTAAATATTCCTATGTATTTATAAAACACCTAACGAACCTAAAATTGTATTTTTATGGCAATAATTTTATGAAGAATAATATTTACCTTTTTTTTTCTTGGTGTCTATGAGTATATAAATTTATGTGATTTTTATTTTTATTTTCTTACAAGTAATTGTATGGTAACTTTCAGATATGGGCCAGTTCTTCATTGTTTTAAACTCAAGGCACCTTAAGTTCTAACAGATCGTTGGACCTAATCATTTTTATGTCCAACAATGGCAATTAATTTGTGTCAGAATCTGAGCTATATGTGGCAACGAACAATGGCTGACATATTCGCTAAATTCAGTGATTCGGTTATTTACTTTACTCTCAAAAGAGCCTGCATGTTCACTTCAGCCCTCTATGTTCACTTCAGCCCTTGATTACTCCATGTTCACTTCAGCCCTCTAATGATTTTCTCACCGGAAGTTTGTTGCATTTAGCTTTACATCGCTTTATGTAATCTTAAAATGGCAAGTGAGTCGACAATCATTTTTCTTGGAGTGGTAGTGTGCTTATGTGTGCTCGAATACATTACATATTTATTTGAAATAAGAAAGTAATCCAAAATGTTAGATTCTAATGCTTACATAGGTCAAAGAAAAATACAAGCTTGAATTTGGCTGCAAGACATAATTGAAACTGAATAGCAAAATTAAAGTTTAAGTAAGATTGTAAGGAATAAAAATGAGATTAGATCAAGAGCTACTTATTAAAAATTTGTTATTAGTGCAATGTTTTAGAAAGATAACAAGATTAGGGGTGTAAACGAGCCGAACACGAGCGAGCTCAGGCTCGTTTATATTTCAAGCTCAAAAAGTGTGTTCGTGTTCAGCTCGTTTGCTTAACGAGCCGAACACGAGCTGTTCAC